ACCCTCCCCCCTCTCATGGACTTTCTCGCTCTCTCAAATAAATAAATAAATCTTTAAAAAAAAAAAAAATTGGGCCTTGGTGACGTTCTCAGCCCCTGGATCAAGCGGTTAGCTGAAATACCCCCGCACTGGGACCTTTCAGTGATTTACTTGAGCAAATAAATTCTCAAGTCTTTTTCCCCCCCTTTCTCTCAGACCAGTTTAGGGGGGATTTTCTGTTATTTGCCAAGAGACCGATGACTAGACCCAGCCTTTCCTGGGGGAATTCCCGTGGAGGGGTAACCAGTGTGCGGGCAAGATGGGCTGAAGGAGAAGACACTGTGGCTCTCAGCCTCTCCTGGAGATTTATGGCCTCTGGGCTGGATGACTGACCTCCAGCACAAGTGGAGAAGAGAAGGGAGAAGAGAGCTTCACCTGCAGGGGTGCTCTGCACCGGTCACAACAGAATGCCTCCCACCGGGGCCTGACGGCAGCCCGGTGCTTCTCCTTCTGACAAGCCAGGCAGCTGCAGTCAAAGAAGTACTGGGACCTCAGCTTCTGCCGCCTCTCGGCAACAGCCATCCTGCTGCGGTGAGGCCCTGCAGAGAGACCACGCCTGGCCAATGTTTACGGCAACAGAGAGTCGGGCACTACTTACAAAACTTCAGCTTAGCAGAGGTGTTCTTCATCATGCGACAAGTACCCTTTACTCAAACACTTGTGGCGCTAGATACAGAAATAAGCTTCCAAGTTGCAAGGAAAAAAAAACCCCAAAGTTATTCTTAGCCCATTTTTTGGAAAAGGAAGTTTATGGGATTAAGCAGGGAGATACATGATAGTTTAGACACAACAGGGCCAAGGAAGGAGGCCAGAGGCCTTTTTTTGGGGGGGGGGGGGCCTAAGTATGCACTGCCTTCACCTGTCCGGGGGTTTGCTCGTTCTCATTCGCCCTGTCCTTTCCTGCCAGAGAAGCGTGGCCAGTGATGAGGAGGGAGGGCTCACCATAGCAGTGGAGGATCTCTTGCCCTTTTCCAATCTTCTCTGATGCCCGGATGGTGGCGACGGTGCTAATGAAGGACACGCTGGTGTTGGGGCTACAGGAATGGTTCAGGAGGCTGACAACAGGGAAGATGCCTGTGGCAAGGCGGACCTGTCTGCTGTTGGTAACGCTGTTCTCTTTAGATCCTGAAAGTGCTGGAGGAGAAAGGAAAAATGCGTCAGGACGTTAGTCTTGGCCTCACCATCCATTCCTCAGAAGATGAGCTGGGCAACTGGGCCTGAAGCCCATCTGAGTCATAGCTCCACAGCCAGATCCAATATACATCAGATGGAAAACGACTCACAGCAAACTCTCATCCCCAGGAAGCAAAGCAAATGAACACATGAAAAGTCCACCGGAATCCTGGAACCTAACCATTGTGTCTCAATATCAGAAAAAAATCCAAAGGTTAGAATTTATTAAAAAAAATAATAAAGGAACTATCAGTCGGGAACCTTCCAGATAGACAGTTTCATAATGTTCACCAGGACACAGAAAACCAGAGTACCTGCTGAGGTTATTTCCCAAAGGCTTCTATAGTTGAAGCTGCTTTTGTTTAACTGGTCTTTGGTTAGTTAATAGAACAAATAACCTAATTATTCTCCCAAACTAAACAGGTTTATAATACATTCTTAAAAATCATATTCCTTAAGGGCGCCTGGGTGGCTCAGTTGGTTAAGCGACTGCCTTCGGCTCAGGTCATGATCCTGGAGTCCCTGGATCGAGTCCCGCATCGGGCTCCCT